AGCAAAGACAGGTGTACAAATTAATGTGATCTCCTTCACATTTCTACAGTAAATCCAACTATAGCAGGCTAATAAGAATGATTATTTTGTATTAGACTACTTCCACAGATCATAAACGTAAGCTTTTATTACAATGTAGCAATATACTAAGAAGTGCAAAGCATATGTATGGAGTTGAATTAAAATGGTGATCTCATTTACATGCATCTCACCATGTTTCCAATTATCTGTTTTTATAAATAGACCCCTAATTATTACTCACAGATTTAGCTTTGTAATTTATCAGTTCTTTAAACCTAAAACTACCACAGTTAAAGAGATACACACCTGTTATGTAATTCCAGTTTCAAGGACTTTTCTTGCAGGAAAATGAGTTGATTTGTGACTAATACATTTCAAATCCACTCTACCCTAATCACCTGCACATGGTGGAAACTAAATATGGTAGGAAAAGCATTATGCACTCTATATATATTCCCCTCTGAAGTAAAGGAGTTCACGCAATTCAATGTTCAGTGATTTTGATTGAATAATGCAATTTACTCTTACCCTTTCAGTTATTGATAACAACAAATGTCTTGGCTGTTGTGAATAACGATATAACATAATTTGAATATCTTCACTAGATATATGCGTAAAGGAGATTACGTGCTTAAAAAACAAAACAAATAATTTTATTATAAGCTCCAAACAGACATACCCAAAATATCTCTTTATACCCTGTGTTTGGGATATGACCAAACCAAATTATATACTTCCCAGATTGATTTTAGACTCTAACCTTAATTTGTAACTATTGTTTGGAAAATATGCAACCTTAAAGGAGAACACATGATTATGGCGACATGTTGTTTTGGATATTGTTTTTATGTGAAAAAGTAATGGGACAATCAACTAATAACAAATTTTCAAAATATATATGTTTACCAATTCATGACAATAAAGGCTTGAGTCATACTTACAGTTTTTGTATTATTGCTTTGAAATTATTATTCTTTTTTTTTTGGCTGAGAAATACTATTTTTAACACCCCACCATTATTTCCTTAGGTTGCTGAGAAAAATTAACAAACTCAACATAGTATATATGTTTGGAAAGCTCTGTCCATCGCTTATCATTTAGAAATTATTATATGATTGTGTAAGGTACGTACTCAGAGAAATTTGCCCCAGAACACTGGCGACATCAAATTGGACACTTAAGAAAGCCTGGACTTTGAAGAAAAATGGTACTTATGCTCACCATACATCCAGATGCAGGCAATATTGGAGAAGCTTGCTGTATTACTAGTAGTGCCAGTTATATTTCTCTGAGGAGTGTCTGTTTTAAGATTTTATTCTTCTTGCTCAGTGCAACTGTACCAATATTGTCACGTGACAATGTTATACCTAAATATATAATAAATTTCTCTTCTTTCTGTCATAAAAATCCTTCCAACAGATCCTTATGTGTGTATCTGGGTAACCGCATGAGGTTATCAAGTTGCTCACAGTCTTACTGCCTGGTTCTGATAAGAATATGTATATATATAAGAATTGATAAGTATGAGTTTCGTTGGAAGGATGTTTTCGAAGCGGTTGACATTTTTTTTTAACCTTTGGACATTCCTCACCTAGAAATTGGGGACATTAAAAACTGGTTTACACCCTTACAAGTCTATTATCACAGTTAGCCTACTTATTGGATAGTTCATTGAGCTTGTCTTAAAGGGTTATTTAGCAAGAGTTATATATCGAGATAGAGAAGTTAGAAACTTTTATTTCCCTCTTCTTTTAACTGGGCTTGTCTGGTGACATGGAATTCTTAGACACGTCGCACAGCTAGTTCTTGGTCAGAATACACATACTGTTGGTCAAACTTATCTGATACTTTGTTTTCGTTTAATAGACTTATCACAGAGCAGCAGACTGCAAGAAGTCGAAACAAAGAAAAAGCTTTGTCTATAAACGTTTCACGTGCCATTTATTTTCTTGTTAAATTTGTATAGTGTACATAAGTTTTGCTTCTTTGCGAAATATCTGTATCTCGTTTCTTATTTTAAGCATGATTGAGTTAGAAAGTAATTTGTCTCTCCATTTTTTTCTCAAAAATTCAACATTTCTGTTTGTTTTCTTTGAGTGTTTTCAAAGTCAACACAGTGTAGAACATTTATAAACACTCCAAATATTACGTTGTAAACATTTTGGGGGGGATAACTAAATACATCATAATGACGTTATGTTAGTGGGGACAATCTAAAACTTAAAAACTTTATAAAACTGTAAACTTAGCACTAAGCCACCCGGTTAGAAGAAACTCGTCGACCTTGTACGTTTCGGATATTCGCAAAAACTACACAAGAGCTATCTATGCTAGCCATTCCTGATTATGGATTGATAGACTAATCATTAAGCCAACCCGGCCCAACTCACCGACAGTTTTTAATTGGGTAAAGTGACTATCGTATATTTTATTTCATAACATAAAATGATCATGGAATGTATATGTAGATAATAAAAGTTAGATAAGAGAAATAATTCAAGACGGGAACTTTGATCAACCCAAATGCTTTATTGCACTAATTTTATCAAAAAAATACCCGCAAGTGTTTTAAAATCCAATGATAAAAAAGGAGTCACACGAAATCAATATAAACAACTTGGTGTATAACAAAATAACTACATTTAGTATTATTATATATATACACACATCGAACTGCACGAACTGTCCTTTTCTTGTTCCGAAATTGTGCGTCGACAAAGTTTGATTTCAAACAATAAAACCATACTTATCAACTCTTCCGATATTCTACTCTCTTCCCGACAAACTTCCCAACCTCCCGAAGATAACATTAAAATATTAAAAATCGCCCTACACGCTCATTTCCCTCTTTAACACTAGAAAATATTTATAGGTATGTAAAGCTATGATTTTATAAGAATTTCAGACAAACAAGTTGACATTAATTTTAGCAATACACTGGTCTATCAACGTAGTAAATTGCAAGGGGGAGAAGACATACTATTAACTCTCTCAAAATTGTATAACCTCACTCTCCAATAAGGAATCCCACAATAGCGTCTGTTAGTTTAGCCACCAGATACGAATGTGTGTTTAGCGCAGGTATTTGTTCTGTGTTCTAACTAAGAGCGACTCCACGGTCGCCACATTTTGTCGTTAAGAGGCTGCTTCAAGCACCCTGGACGCTCATGCTCACAATGAGCTTTTCTTTGAGATGATGTAGCAACCTGGTTCTGCGTTTGGATAATTCTAATTCTAAGATGACTATAATTCTCAGTATTATCGATAGCGGTTCTGGAATGGTGTCCAACCGAGTCGCTGGTATTCTCGTTAGTATTGTAAACAGGCCAGAAATAGTAACCCCCCGAAAAAAAACCGGGTCCAATGGTGGCACTTTTAACTGGTAGTTGGAATTGTAGAGCTGATATGCTGTTAGGGTTAAGTTCTGGGGTTTTTGAGCTATCATGCTGAACCAGAGTCTGAACTGTTTGAGTCATTGCTTTCGACTGAATTTGCGAAATTCTTGATATTGAATCCAAGTCTCCCGCTGTCTCTTTCCCTGATTCATCTCGGTTGTCACTGTTTCCGATTTCCTGAAGCCGACGATTCAGGTGGCAAAAAAGATGGGTCATGAACTCTGGTGATTCGTCCAGTTTATTCTTTGACAAAAACTGAGCAACCTCAGTCATACATTTTCTGTAGCCAATGTTAAAACTGTTAGTAGGTAGAGATTCAGGTATAGGATTGTCTTCTACAAGGAAAGAAAAAAACAGAATAAAAAATCAAGTAAACTATGGATCTAATTTCAAACTAGGATTAATATTATACTTCTCAGGTAGAATTTAGATATAAAAATGTCGACACGCTTTAGATTAGTCTTTTAGCTGAACAATAACCTAAAACAGAGGGGCGAATGAGTTGAAATAACGTTGACATTTTATATTGAACAAACACAACAAATAATTTACTGACGTACTACGTTTCCGCCACTAATTCTCCAGTTATGCAACGACCAGATTAACCCCTTCCGTTTATCTTTTATGTGCTTTTTGATAGCCTATTGTAGTACATGATAACATTCAAATAAATTCTGGAAAATAATTAAAAATACGGCGAGAAATGGTTTGGCCGAGTTATATTTGGCAAATCACGAAAGGGGTTAATGCCGTTTTATCAGAAACTTAATAGTTACGTCACAATGGTGGTGTAACTTATGTCAGAAAACACGTTTTCAAAAAGCATTATCACAATAAACTATGTCTATTAATACACATACGATCATGAAATCAGTGTTGTTTGTTTGTTGAGCACAAAATACATAATGGACTATCTGTACTCTGTCCACCACGGGTATCGAAAGCTGGTTTTTAGCTTTATAAGCCTACAGCTTACCGCTGTGTCACCGGGGAGGGCATGAAATCATTGTTTTCAAGCAAAATATTTTTAATTATTATTTCTTTATACTTATGCGATATATTTTTGTATTTATCACAAAATACCTTAATAATTTATTTTTTATTAGATTCATTAATTATTAATTTTTGCATCAATGTTTCAACATTAATCATGAAATATTGTAACTTATTATACATTATACAGAATTTGAGCAACTGTGAAGTTGATACTTACAACAGAAGAACATGGCATATTACTATTAGGAGAGGGTAGGCCATATATTGGAAAAAAAAGTTAACTAAATTAATATCATGATTAATTATTTTAATTTCTACATCTAAATAAGGTGCTTTAACTTCAGAAATAGAAGTTTTTCAATTTCTAATTCTACCGGATAAATAGTGTTACTAAAATTATTTATTTCAGGATTATTTACACTAATTAAATCATCTATATATTTATAAGTTAAGGCAAAAACTTCTCGATTTTTTACATTTTCAATGAACTTATTTTTTTTAAAATATAAATTTGCTATACAAGTCGACTAGTTAGGTCATACTAGAACTCATGTTTCTTGTTTAACTACCTAATTATTGAAAATATATAATTATTACAAATACAGAAACTTAACATGGCTTATATTTTTGGAGATCAAATTTCTCTCTTTTAGTTTAAGCACTACGGAAGGATTATAGTGTTGTTCAATTAATAAATTCATTACTGGATTTAAATCTTTCAATGGATTTGTCGTATATAGGGGGATAAAATTAAATGTTTGAATAGTTTTCACTTGTTCACAACTATTTACGTATTCTAAAATAGGTTGATTACTTTTTTAATTATCCAAAAAGTGATTATTATTAAAAGGTTAAAATTTAGGGAACTTGTGTAAATATTTAAAATATTCAAACGATCAACGTTGTATAATAATTGTTCTTACTATCTATATTTTTAATTCTATAAAATAAAATATTAAGTAATTTATTTAATAAAATAGCCTGTTGTTTAATAATTGTTTTCAGTGAACTGGAAATAAATCTAAATTTAATTGGAGATTTATGCAGTTTAGGAATAGCATACAGGAAAGGTATGCCTGAAAAATAATTTGTTTCAGAATGAAGTTTTTTATAAGCTTTAATAAAATTATTAATTCCCTTAGATTGGCTAACATGTTTAAATATTTGTGTACTATTAATTTCATTTATTATAAGTAGTGAATAAAACGTTTTACAAATAAACCCAAAATAAGAATTAGCTTCATCTTTGGGAAAAGTGAAATTTTTCTTGCAGTTCTTGGATTTTATATAAAATTATACGAGATAATTTAAATGTTAGTTTATGAAGTACATAAAACTTCCATTCTAAAAACCATCTAGGCAGATAAGATGTAATATAATTAAGTTTCAAAATGTATTCATCAGTGTTGTTTTCAGTAGATTGTAGAATATCCTGCTTATTACATCCTGTGGCAATTCTGTATTTAGATCCTTTTTTAACTTTTAAGAATTTCACACAATAGTTTATCTTTTACAATTTCAACGTTACCAATAATAATATGTTTATGAAAAGTATCAATAAATATATTATTTTTACATTCATAATAATCATATAGGAAATACTAATAATTTCGTAATAAGTGTTAAAAATGAAAGCCTTGATTGAGTAAATTAGATTTAACTGGAATTAGAGAGATAGCTAAATGAGGATTATAGTTACATCAATTCAACTTGAAGAATTATATGGTTACCAATATATATATATAGGGATAGTGAAACAAAAGATAAGTGCTATTAATCTGGAAAGACTGATGGTTTTGCAGGGACTCTTATCTTCGAAGTTGACAGAGAATGTTTAGATCCCTAGAGCAAGCACAGAACAAACGTACCTCGGGAGGAGATTATTGGCAGTGATAATGTTCGTTCAGTTCGTGAAGGTTATGCTGCTGTTAGAAAAGGGACCGTCGTTGATAGAGGAAATCTAATTTTTAAGGAAATTGATTGCGAAAGTTTATGTTCCTTGCCAGAAGCTGAGAATTTGTTTGTAAGATTCTGAGAAATTGTGAATATTTAACATTATTAGTAACTTCTTATCCAAATTAAATCAACTCTATAAAATATTTTAAATCTTATTGTTACTGTTAGTTGGGAAATGGTTTCTTTAGATGGAATGACGTTTTGGTATCTGCGCCGACGAAGATAATCTCAGCATAGAGACCGAAACTTGTCCGTCTCAATAAACAAAACAGAATTGTATTTTTACTAAGGTTCTTGCGTTCCACCAAAAGCTTACTTAATCAATAGCAATATAAGAGACTAATAAGGAAAAATTATATTAAATCTTTCAGAGAATGAAACATACAAAAGATATAGGTGAGAGTGATGTATGTGGATTAAAACTAAAAGTCATTAAAACAATAAATGTAAAAGTAAAATGTGGGATTTCGAATGTATGTTTGTATGGAACATTAAAATTTAAATCTGACGTGGAAAATGTGTAGATACCTGAACAAAGAATAGGAAAAATGCAAGATAACTGGGCTGCAGATAGTAGTAAATAATTCGCTAGGTCAAAAGCGAAATTTACTAAAAAAAATAGGAGAATCACAACAGGTTTTCAAGTAGTGAAGTACATTTATCTTCGAACGTTTCGGAAGATGTAAATTTCATCAGCAGCAATCTCTAACACTAACAACAAACATTATGATCAATGACATTTTATAACAAACAGTGCAGTACGCTTTGATACATTTTACATACTTCAGTATAGTGGGAGTATTTAACAAGATCTAAAACGAATAGTGTATATTGTTTGTTTGTTTGTAGTTAAGCACAAAGTTACACAAAGGGCTATCTGTGCTCTGCCCACCACGGGTATCTAAACCCGGTTTCTAGCGTTGTAAGTCCACAGGCATACCACTGGGGCAATAGTATATATATATATATATATACATCTATATAAAAGTATATTGTTACGATCTCGTATTACCGTCCTATATAATATTAATACTAATAACTAATACGTAAAAACAAAACATTTCAACTCTACAAACTTTGTAGTTTTAGAAATATATTATAAAAATAAACAAACGCAAATACTAACTTATATACAATAATTTACAAAAAATACAATACAAAAAAAAAATCACTTTTTCTTGGTAGATCCACGAAGGAGCTGTCTCTCCAATTCAAAACACAATCACTTCAAACACATAGTATGTCGAAATTCAGCTTCAGGTTGTAAATTCAAAGTTCCAATTCACAACTACGAACTAGTTTTCACTGTTCAAATCTCCACTGCACCAAAACTTGTCGATATTTTCAAAACTTCTCAAAAGCAATAAAGTTTACAAAAAACAGAAAAATTTAAGACTAATTCTTAGATTTACAAAGTCTTTAGAGTAGAAACAAATAACCTAATGTTAACTTATAACAAAAACCTACGATTAGTATTTAGGTTTACAAACTCTTCAGAGTCGATACAGAAATATGTCTCAAGTGGCCACTCGAACTAAACTAAGCCCAAACCCTAAAAACTTCTCTTTCCAAAGGAAACTTGAGACCTTTTATATAAATGCCAAATAACCGTTACACAGACAAATGCATATATATATCATGTGATAAAAAACCGTTAGTTGGGTGCACATCATTAATCAAGCGATATGCCTACAGCGCCTCACAACAAAGCTTTCTCTAAAATATTACAAAAATACGGCATCGTAACAATATATATATATATAGAGAGAGAAAAGTGTATATTTTAAACAAAGAATATTCATAAATAACAAATTATTCTCTTAGTTTCAGCATTTTTTCAAGAATAATGACCATTCGGCCTGATGTCAGAATTTTGAAATCATGTAAGTGTTGATTTCACTGTGTTTTAAGACAGGAGAGATTTCCAATTCTGGCTGATCCTGGTCGACACTCCCTAATATCCATAAGGGACTCCTTTTAATCGTTGTGTAAGAACTTGCTCACGTAAAGGTAGTTTGTACAGTGGCATTCATAGGCAATTCGTCAACAAATAAACCTGAGTGAAGTCAAATGAATGAAACATCCAAATATATACAAGAAAAATCATACCTGAATAACATTCTGTCTGAAGGCTCCGTAGATATATAACTAATTTTTCCAACATTTCTGCCTTTCTTTTACTACTATAGGGTGCTGACTTCTATAGAAGAAAAAAAGTTAACAAATGTTACAGTACTGAAGTTCAATATCATACCATATGTATGGTTAATATCTTGTGCTTTCGATACAAATCTCTGAGTAAGTTGTGTAAAGCATACATAAAATTATGGGTGCTACTATAGCGTTCGGTCCACTGCAGTATCCATTGTCTACCGGGACTTTTTCACTATAGCGTGCGGTCTACCGAGACTTTTACACTAGAAACAAAGCATATAAAGATGTTGAATAACAGCAGTCTACATGGGATATTTACACTGCTAAATAATTTATTAATGATGAATAATAGCAGTCTACATGGGATATTTATACTGACCGCACGCTATAGTAGCACCGAGCTGTTTCAATCACACCTTGATCACATTTGCTAGAAAGTGCTAAGGAAAGATGCAGATGATTTATTTGTGGCATTTGTAAATGATGTACGAAGTGTATATCGTTAAAGGATTTAAATGTAAATAATTTGTTAAGGATGTGGTACAAAGTGTATGTCATTAAAAATAATTATGTAGCACAATTTTGTGTTATTTGTTTTTATCATAATAATGATCATTAATAAATTATTTAGCAGCGTAAATATTCCAGGTAGACTGCTATTATTCAACATCTTTATATGCTTTGTTTATAGTGTAAAAGTCCCGGTAGACCGCACGCTATAGTAGTACCAAATTATGGTTACGTTGTCAGTATACCTTGCTTGAGTCAGAGAAAATGGTAAAACTGTAGACAAAGTTTCCGAACGGAATATTTTAAAATAGAAACTCTCAATGTAAGAGATAAATTTTTGAAAAAGGTAGAATGTATTTGTTTTCTAAATAGTTTACCTCACAGACTTTATACGGGTTTGCCAAAATTAGTAGATTTTTCAGTTCCGTAAAACTTTGATTAATTCTTTCTCGTCTTCGTTTTTCAAGTCTGGCTTTGCTTGCCTAGAAGAAAGAAATGGAAGTTAGTTAGCTAACATTACAGTAACTAGACTAAATCATTCTTCAGGATTCTCTTCACAATTGTACTTATGTGACCATTAAGTTTATGTACGGGCCTGTATACAAAGTAACCTATTCGAACCTCAACGGGGTGTCAGGCTAACACGTGACGTTTGAAGACTAACAGTTGTGTTAAAATTTTATTCCATCTAAGATAATTACTGAAACTAAAAGAGGGCACACTGATTCTACATTTTTCATAACAAACTTTCTGTAGAGATCAATCTGCAAAATATTTCGATAATTATTTCGAGTTTTAATTCACATACAACTAACATAAATATAAGTTACCTTTCGACGTTCTTGACGAGTTCCTGCTAGGCTTTGTGAATCTGCCATATTGATATATATCAATGCTTCCAGGACAGGTTGGATGTGTTCGCACAACTTCAGTCCGCAAACATCAGCGTTTTGTTATTTAGTCACAGTTTGTTATTATAAAGTTTCTTTGTTTAATACCCTTGTCCGGAAACTGCTGCAAGGTCCACCTATCGTGAGCGACCTGTGGTCAAATGATTACTGGATGGATACAGCTGACGTTTCTGTCCTGACAGGTAACCTGCTCTCTAAGTAAATGGGTCTCGCGCTGTGCGAGTTCAACAGCGTTAATGCACCCTAGGGCTGTTCTACAAATCAACATCATACTTTACCATCAACCAATTTAACACCTTTACTTTCCCCTCTCCCAACCTCAAGACAAAAATTCTTTTGTCTATATTGAAGAATTAGTATAATCCTCAGTCGTGGAGGATGGGGTGAATTACCCCGGTATCTGGTTTGTTACTTTCCACGCTAGTAAAATTAGGTATTTCATTATAGAAAATTGAAAATTAAAACAGCTAATCGTCCTTTATATCCACACGCGTCAATCTTGGTATAAACAGTTTTTAGTCCATGTTAATATTCTGTGTGGTCATTTTGGGTTTTAATTCATTACAGCAGTTTTCAGCTAAATCACTGTCACAGAAGCCATCACTTACTCAGTTGAAACAAAAATGTGAATAAATTACTTTACGTTTTTCAAACCTAATTTCATCAAGCCACATTTAAAGCATAAAATCAATCACATGGAAAACACTCTAGTATGAAAGCTTCAAGCTTTACAAACACTATATATTAAAAAAGTAGAAATACTAACTTGGTAGCATAGATTACAACCTGTACAGTTCAGGAAGCTTGTAGGTTGGCATACTCTATAGGACTGCACACATTACAAGACCAAAAAATGAATACCCAGTTTGCTTGTAAGCTTAGAGATGATTGTAAGATGGGGATATGGGAAAGGCAATATGGACATCCTTTGGGTCAAGAAATACAGATTTTTTCTTACCCTGAAAGCTAAAGAGTAAGTATTCTGCTAAGATTCCAATAGCCTTAGCCCCTACAAGTAGGAACCTAATAGGATTAGTAATGCACAGTTGTGATATACTGTAAGAAGAAAAAAGAGCTAACTAATAAAATTGGTTTTCTCTGAACGGCCTTTATATATTTATGAAGCATAAAATAAAACTGGCACATTGACCTCAAATATTAATGTTAATACATTTTTAATGACATTGGTTTCAGTTCATCAAAAACTACAGACACATTCACAGTTTAGGGATGATTTCTAAGTCTTATGGGTGAACGAATAGCGATAAAGACGCAACCTAACTGGGGTGGAAAGGGGGGGGGGCTCGGGTGTTGCAATCTAGAAATAGTGTGCCAACGCTATACAGCAACCTAGAGGTTGTTAATAAACTCTACAAATCAAGGAATAATTATAGGGATGATTTCAAAATCCTATGGATCAGGGAGTATAGAACCAATCGGCTGTAATGTGAGAGTATAAATAAAATATTATGATGTGGTTATAACTTATAGATAATTTAGAGCAAGGGTAGTTTAAACAAAAAACTATGACCAAAGAATATGAACATAGCTGCTATACAGGGGTAGTTTAGCCAGGTACAAACACAGTTGCAATGTAGGGGTAGTTTAGCAAACTATGGGTCCAGAAATATAAAACACAGTTGCAGTGTAGGGGTAGTTCAGTAAACTATAGATTAAGGAGTATAGAGAAGAATAAAAACAGTATTGAGATACTGAGGAGGAATGAAAGGTTCTTCAAAAAGTTCCTATTGGACTGTAAAGTTTGAATTTTAGTTCGTTCGTTCATATTTTACCTTCGAAGAAATATATTATTAGAAATTTCTAGGTTTAGAAAAGAATGGTTTTGTGGAGTTGTACGTATATACTGAAAATAGGCTGTATGACTTCCAAGTAAATACTATATCTTTTTTGCAGTTTTGAATTTTTCGTTTAATTTTAAACTTGCAAACATAATGAGGATGAATTTTATAAAATAGCTACTTATTTATTTATTGTGTATATACAAACACATATGTATATGAGTTGAAAATAAAAATCTTAAGCAAAAAAGAATCGGATAAAGGCCTGTGTACACTAACTGTACTAATTGACTGAAAAACTTCAAGAGTTTATTAAAATGATAGTTGTTTTTAGACCAGCGTTTAGTCATGCTGAATTAGTTGTTTTTTTACTTGATTAGTTTATTTAACACTCGTGTACAACGTCAAGTTTTTAAAGAACAATTGTTTGTTTGTAGTGTGTTATCCGGCTACAGATCGAGCTATAACTGTCTGTAGTGAAATATACGATACAAGATTTAATTGTGTCAGTTACTGGAAGAAACTGCGGGTGGTGTCTCGGAACTAGAAAATCCGAGTCATAGTTTACGACCGACGGCGCGTGCCTTTCGACAAGCAGTTAAGCCTTTTGTCACTGTCATTCTACTTGGTAGGTTGACTGTGCTATTATAGACAGTGAGGACTTTTCCTTGACGTCCATGGTTGCCGCAAATGCTCAGTCAACCATTAACCTCATTCCCTAAGATGACATTTATTTATTTCTTATTGTTCTGTTGAAAACTACCAATTTCTATTATGTGGCGGCCCTTTTCTGTATGTTTAGGGCAAGGGTCATCTTCTTGAAAGTATTCGCTTAATAACCACCTGTATGAGATCAATGTATCGCCCCTCCCCGAAAGAAAAGTCTGGCATAGTCCAGTGGTTAGGGTGCTCGACTACCAATCTGTAGATCATTGGTTCGAATCCCATCACCGAATATGATCGCCTTTTCAGCCGTAGGGGGCGTTATAATGTAACAGACAATTGCACTATAAAGAGTGGCACAAGAGTTGACGGTGGTCGGGGTTTACTAGCTTTAAGTTATCATAGTGGTTCATAATAGGGATTGCCCAGGAATTTCACAAACAAATCTAATAGAACATACTGGCAAAAACAACTCAAAAAGCAGACTTGTTCTTGAAACAACACCCAGACATTTTATCTCAATGGCTAAGACTACTAAAATATTGATATTTTCCGATTGTTAGACAAAATTCTTCCATTTGTTCTTCATATTATTCTTGTTTCACAAATCTACAGAAAAAAAAACGGCTATGAATATATTATTTAAACCTGGACAAACATACTAAACAACTCCTGTACAGATCATAGGGCTATTTTTAAGTTGATTCTTGAAGAAGAAGAAGGAGAGATTTTATCAGTTTTTTCATCGTTACTGGCGAAGTTTCTCTTCGAAGTCATTCGAGCACCGAAGCCTAAAGCAAAAACGGCTAGGTATACAGCTATTAATGAAACTCCTGCAAAGGTTGTAGGGTTATTTTTATGTTGATTTTCGAAAGTCGAGATTTCCACCATCTAAACTTTTCCAACTTCTTCTTCACTACCAACATAAGCTTTTAGAAGCCTTTCAAGCATCGCAGAAATGTAGAAGCCATTTAAGCACCGTTATACTAGTCGGAAACGCTTCGTTTTATTAGAGTAAACAATGTGTATATTTATAACAGTGTCCCCAGCCTTATTATTATTCATTATAGTTTTACAAGCCGCAACAGAAAAAAAACAGCTACAGATATTTTGCTGTTGTTGTTTGTTATTAAGCACAAAGCTACGCAAAGGGTTATCTGTGCTTTGCCCATCATCCAGTTTCTAGCAGTATAAGTCCGCAGACATACCACTATGCCACTGGGGAACATTATTTTACTGAAACCTGGACAACCGTATTGAGTATGTCATAGAGTAGTTTTAAAATCAATTCAAGCGTCCTTCATTTTCTGCCACTGAAAAAATCCGGTGTTTTACTAATGCGCATTAATTGGAAAATAATTTGTGCAACTTATAGCACATTAATTGGAAATTGCCACGTTGAAGATTCATTGTTTCTCGAGTTCGCTGTTTTATTTTGTCTCTATGTGGTTGCCTACGACCGTTTCAGTGAATTTTCTAACAGTGGACGATGTTTTCTCTATTCTTGTGAGTGGTGATTTATTCTACTAATTTTCGTACTTCGCAGAAATTGTAAGTGCGTATTTTAGTATCATTTTATCATTATTATTATTCATATTTCTGTTAGTAGCACAATCAGCACCAAAACCCGAGAATGTCCATGACCTATTTAAAAAGTTGATTATTTTCTATTGAAAGTTCATTTACGTGGCTATAAATACGTAATATGTGCGATGTTGTTGTACTGGACGCCCCCCAGTGGTATGTCTGCGGACTTGCAACGCTAGAAACCGGGTTTCGATACCCGTGGTGGGCAGAGCACAGTTAGCTCATTGTCTAACTTTGTGCTTGATTACAAACAAACAATTGTACTCGACACTTGTTAAACGCATGTTTACACGAAACCTCAGGCACAAAACCACCTGGCTCAGTAAATAATGATTGGGTGAAAAAAACAATGCAGCAGTAAAGTGTTGAAAAAAATGTAACATTCAACTGAATGAATATGCATGTATGTAGATGAAAATTTATTCTCCATAAATGGACATAAAAACTTTAGAAACAAAATAATTAAAAATTGTTAATTCGGAAAGGGGAATAGGAATCGTCAAAAAAGTACAGAAACAATTTGAATCAAAATTGAAAGATTATATTTCCAAGCCTACAACTACAATCTATAAAAAGTAAACAAACTAGTTTGGAAACAGTATCTACATTATTTTCTCAAGCTACAAATTCCTATTTTGACTACAATAAAATTGATAAGTACTGTAGACATGAAGTCAAAATAGGGATTCGTAGTTTCGAAAAATAAAGTATACACTATTTCCAACCTAGTTTGTTTTCTTTTTTCGAGTCTCTAGTTCTAAGCTTAAATATATATAATCTTTGCATTTTAATCCAACTTGCTTTGGGTAATTTTTGACAATCCTTATTCCTATTTTTACCTTAACAATTTTTGATTATTTTGCCATTTCTAAGTTAAGGACGTTTAGCACAGAGTGCCCTAGAGTATATTTGCGCGAA